TTTGACTACCGTGTGTTTACCTAAAACCACATGGGGTAGGGTTCCCATGATCGCAACTGCCTCTGCCTGTAGCGAGGAGGCGTTGTCTATTACCCTCATGGATTCTATGGCATCCCTTGTTGCAAAGCTGATACCTGCAGCGTGGCTCAAGGGATCGACTGATCCATCTGTGAAGTATGTTCTACCACCCGGTAGAGTGATGGTTGCAATGACCCTCTCGGTTTATGCCTTTAGACTAGGCTCATAACAGAGAACTCTATCAAGGTTTGTGCCCTGAGAACTCTATCAAGGTTTGTGCCCACAGCGGGGCTTCGATAAAGTCAGGATGGGGGGAATCCATGCCCTTGGCAAGTAGTTGTTTTTTGAGCTGATAGCGTACACCCTGGCTGTGTGAGATAGCCAGGAGTTATTTGCAAAGAGCTCATGATCTTGTTCTAGGCGTCTGAGATTTTTTTTTACTGCCATAGATCAATTCATGAGACCAAGGGGAGAAGGTTTGCCTCCATTGAGGACCTTGGGGAACCCAAAATGATCCTGGCAGCTTCATTTTGAACTGTCTCCAATTTTTCTCTTAATTTTGTCTTTGTGGCAATCAGGGTGACAGAAGCACAGTCCACAATGGGCTGGAGCCCACCCCGTGGCGTTCCATTTTCTAATGATATGTGCTGTGATAGGTGACCTTGGAATCTGACTCTAGATGCTCTGTTCCTGAAATAGTCACCTATCCAAGCTGAGACCTTTCCTCTGATTCCCTTCTGGATCAGGGTCTCCTGAATGTCAAGAAGACTTGCTAATTCAAAAGCCTTCTCCAGGTCCAGGAATACTACTGCAGATGTGTTAATTGCAGGGGTCCCATTTTCCATTGGAGTAGGTTTAGTACCATCCTCAGCCGTCTTGGCCAGACAGCTGAGGACAAGGAGTGGGCGGTATTTCCCTGGTTCCTTTGGTTTTGGGATGGGAACTATGGTAGCCTTCTTCCAGCTCTGGGGAAACTTACCTGCCAGTCCTAGATGGGAAATGATGGTTCCCTCATAGAAAAGATAACATCTAAGTCATCAGGTCTGACTGCCCTTTCTTTGATATAAGCAAGTCTGCCTGGTTGTAGGCGTTCTTGGTTTGCCCTCAGTTTGGCTGACAGACTGTCGCTGCTTGTTCTCGCAGAGAACTTGTGTACCAGTCTGCTTCTGATTGAGGGTCGTTGTTTGTACACCTCGGGGCTGAGCGGCTGGTAGCTCGCCTGACCCATTGTCACAGCTCTGTAAGGGTGGTTTAGTGTTCAGAAGACACACTATTCCAGCCACTTTTTCTGCCTGACTCTGTTGGCAGCTCCCTTGGCATCTCTGACAGTTTCCCTTTGGAGGGCTAAGTTGTCAGGGGTTCTTTGCCTTCGGAATTACTTTCTGCACATGTTCACTCCGTGGTTGATCTCCTTAATCTAGTCATTAACGTACCAGGCGTCTTTTGTAACTCCTGGACCAAGGTCTGTGAGGCTGCTTGATTTATGGCATTGATAAGTCTGGCTTTAAGCACTTTAACCACATTTTCACTCTGTGGGCGTTCGTTACATTTAAGTGAGCCAACGCATTCTGAAACGCCTGTCAGTTGGCATTGTCTGTTTTCCATCTTGGATTTGGTTGTGGCATTTGGGTTGGGCCACTATCCATGAGGGTAGTGATATTGTCATAATGGTCACTTGTGACTGTCTCATCGGCACACCATCTGTTTGCTCCACCAGAGCCGCAGTGGCCAAGGTAAGGTCTAGGACCCCTCCTCTGAGATACATTAGCTCTTGGGTCTTACGAAGAATGTCACAGGGAATGTCTCAAGCACATTGGCTATGTGATTGCCTGCCGCACCCGATCCTCTGCAGGGAGCCAGGCTGGGGTGGTGCGCATTGATGTCTCCCCCTATGATCACTCGGTCTTGTGCTGCAATAGCACAGACCTGGCTGATGTCTAAGCTCCTACAGAAGGGCCTGCTGTACACATTGTACAGTTTGAGGGGGCCCCCGGCCAGGTGAATCTCAACAGCAAGAGATTCAACATCGTCTCCACAGTGCGGTGCACCGGCTATTGCGGAGCAGGGGATTGTTGCTCTGACCAGGGTGATCAAGCCTTTTTTGCCAACTGTGTATGGCAGCATGAAGATAATACCCTGAGAAGCAAACAGTCCCCTCTGTTAATGTTTCCTGGAACATGACAGTGAGTTGATATTGAAATTAAGTTCCTTGATTGCACTATTGCATGGAGGATGGCATTTCTTGTACTGAAGCCAATGATGTTCCACTGTAGTATGCTTATATTGTGTGTTATGATGTTAATGGGTGTTAGGTACATGTAAGACGTCTTTGTATTCGGATTCAGATATATCGGAGTCTGACAACTCCATTGTGAAGTCCTCTCTGATTGAGGGATCTTCATCTGTTTTTGGGCTATTTGGCAGGCTATCCCTGGTTCCACTAGGGGGTGGAGAGCCTTTGGTAGCTCTGACTTTTGTTAGGTTGGCTTTTCTCATTTTGTGCAGGAAAAGAACCAGAACTTTTGTGAAATTGAGAAGCCAAGTAACCTCATCTTGACTCTCTTGTCGTCGGGATTCAGTAGTGAGAGACACACTTTCCTCCCAATTGAAAGCTCCTTCGTTTCCTGCAAGAAATTCA